GACGAATGACAAGATTTACGTAGTGCTAGTGTGATGACTTATGTACGGTAATGGGGATTTGCGTGGGACTCGTAGACTTACGTCTGAGCATTATTCTTATTTACGGGGTATTATAATGTTGATTTATTCTAAGCAGTATGATGATTAATTGGGAGAAATTGCTGTTTATGGGCTTCATATTACGGCTGACCCCTTAGACAATTTATCATGTGCGCAATACTTAACAACAACGTAACCTCTTTAATCCTGAAACTTGCCAATGTGAAATCTTCCGGATTATCAAATTTCCGGAATATGGAATCTCTGTTATGGGATAACTTCACACTTGATACAGGTAGATATTCTCAACAGTAATAATCAGGAAAACAGGATTTCCAGACAAACGGGACTCCATAGTATGACGTCGCTTTTTTGCGATGGGTGTTTCTCGTTATACTTGAAACGTGCTATCACCTCATTGTTTACTCCGTAATCAATCATCGGACATATACTTCACAGTTCAGTGAATAGATCGTCATCTACCATTGTAAACACTGTGATCATCTAGCACCGGTGGTTGCAGGGTGAGTGAAACAAGGCAAGCAGCCTCTTAAGTACTGGATATGTTTTAATGCTCCAGCCTTAGGCAACAGAAGATGGCCTGTTATATCTCCAAGTCAGTCTCCCCACCCCCCCCCCCAGGATAAATGACTGTACCTGGAGAATGGCGGTGACATCAATGTTCACGTATCGTGATGAAGTCTGTGCTAGGCTCCCATCACTGTACCAGGAACATGTGGACAATTTACAGAAAACTTGAGTGCCAGTGATGGACTTTTAATACATTGCATTTAGACACATATAGAGGGTGAACGTAGAAAGATGTGGTGGGTCCATCACTCTGTGTTTATTGCCATTAAGATAACAACTATTCTTTTGATGAAAGGTGTTGATTTGCAATAGGATCAAAAGTTATTTACTTATTGTGCTTTTTAAAATGCAAATGACTTGTATGTGATGTTAATTGTTTTCGGTGCATATCCTGTCAGAATTTATAACGGGCACAGACTAGTCACGATGGCATTGACATTGAATTTTAAATATATTTGCTTCAATACTTCGATATTAACATGCGATGTATTCCACGTTAATACAATGTTTTCGTCCAAACACAAAATGTATAACGGTTTCATTTTATACAAGAAAGAAACGTGCTTCCTTTTTCATTGCGGGTTACAATTTGCAGACACCGAACAAACGTGGAAGTATCAACTAAACACACTGGTTATGATAAAAACACTGAGACTGTTTACAAGACTACACGTTAAACCTATAAATGCGAACAATTTGATATCGACATGAGCTGTATACATTGAGGTCTAGGTATTAGTAACTTCACTCATTATAGGACATCAGTAAAACTAAAAACAGCGACAATTATTATGGAGGAGGAATGCTCTTGTCATAACATAAGAGGACCGCCTCCGTGGTCTAGTGGTAGAGCGTCCGGAGAGCGGAAAGTCGTTGGGTCGATTCCCGGCCGTGTCATACCAAAAGACGTTAAAAGTTTGTACTTGTTGTTACGCTGTCTGGCGCTCGGCATTAAGGGGCTAAAACAAGGACTGGTCGGCTCGGAGTCAGTATACCGTGTCTGAGTTACAATGGGGCGTGGTATATCAGTTGGCTTGCACGATAAAATCGGCGTTAGTCCGGACTAGTACAAGCAGCCGCACACACAATATAAGTGCAATAATCTTGGAAGTGACGTTAAACCCCATTTAACCTTCACCTTATACCTTAAAAAGATCGGAATATGGTCCCTTCTTTCATAACATGATTGTTTCTCCACCTCTGATGCATTCAGCATATCAAGGTTCAATGCAACCTGTCATCAGATTCCCGTTCTCATAATTCAAATTTTGTATTTCCAAAAGAAGATACCAAATATCAAAACTCCGATAACTTAAATTGCAAATATATCAACATCAGATAGTGAACACATTTAAGACAAGTAATCAGTAACATGGTGACACCTTGCCCAACCGAGACCATGGTCTTCTGTCATTGTCTCAAACCTTCTCATATCGTTAACACTGTGACCGTTTCATTCGGCATGACTTGTCGCTTGTGTTCGGGGAGCGGCGTCATTGTCTCAAACCTTCTCATATCGTTAACACTGTGACCGTTTCATTCGGCATGACTTGTCGCTTGTGTTCGGGGAGCGGCGTGATATATGCACCTCGATAACCAAGGCGACCACATAACCTTGACCCCCGTCACCCGGATAAATCCTGAGGATTACATCCTGGATATTAATGGTTGGCGTCTGACAATGCCGGACCGCGGGTTGTCCATAAATTGTACACGGACAAGGAAACGAATTGACAGGTTACACCCCTTTTGCTCAACAAGGCACAACTATGGCAAGTGGACTGAGTGTTACGTAAGGAACGTCCCGTTTACAAGGGTTGTATCCAAAACAAGATTTCGTATATTGACACTGAAATCTTTTTGTAAGAAATCTATGAATTTAAGTTTGTGAGAACACATGGAATAAAGAATTGAAGTATATGCTTATTGCATTGAGCCAGTGCACATGTACTAACAGTATTACAGCTAGATCTACATTGAAGTAACGCATTCCATACAATACAGCCTTAAAACGCGAGCGGATCACAGCAATGGTTGATGTTGTTTATTAACGTATTGGGGCCACCGGCCCTTGATACATTTGCGGAGCATACAAAACATTTTCCTCACAGAGCGCATAGATTGAGCTGCAGTCACATATATTACAGCACAGCGATAAATCTACATGTACACACACGTCCAACTCGCTGGCTATATAAGAAATGTAATGTTAGCGCCTAAGGAACACGAAATCAATCTTTGTCACAATGAATATTAAGTAACAATCATGGTTCAGCTTAAACATACAAAAAACCAATTAAGTATTTTTTAAAAATCACCTGGATGATGAATGATATAAGAAAATAGATCAGGCCTTCCGGGAGTGTGTGTGTGTGTGTGGGGGGGGGGGGGGGGGGGGGGGGGGAGGTGTGTGTGTGCACACTTTGTGCCTGAGAGTTCAACGTGACTGTCAGTATGGTGTGTGTTATTCTCGGTGTGTCAGTGTAAGTCAACAGATGCGATACAACTAGTACCATCATCAAATGAAATCTTACTCTTATACTCCTTACATATATACATATATATATGTGTTGAATGGGACCTTTGTTAACTTGATAAGAACTACATGTGGATCAGGTTGAGTGACACAAAGGTTACATTGCGCTTGCTTCTGAATATGGCTGTTCCGAATAAGTTTTACATGGCGCAGTTCAATGAAATCTATGCCATCTTTAACGTCGCGTCTAATATTATTGCAGTTACCGTATTCGACGTAATAAGCACCCGGGGCGCTCTCAAAATATGAAATAGGGGGCTCTTATTAGAATATTATTTTGGTGAAAAAAAAGAACGAGTTGAAAGATCGTAGATTTCAGGTTTTATGCTGACAGCCTGAAATGTTTATATACGACAGATATATTTTTACAGAAATTAATTGCCCATAACTAAGGGTGCATATAACACACGACTGCGTATTATAAACGAATAAATAAGTCTTGTGTACATTGATCAAACGGAAGGGGTGCTAATTGGGATTGTTCACTAGCCAATATTATTATAAAATATCCATTGGCGCTCATGAGAGCGGGGCCCTTATTACGTCAAGTACGGTATATATATTCAGCCAGCCTATAACTTTCATCCAACGATGTCCGATGATATATATATATACCATCGGACATCGTTGGATGAAAGTTATAGGCTGACTGAATATGTGTACAGATATTTGGCCAGGTCCTAGATGACCTGGGGATAGGCACCTCTTTGACCCCTCAAGGTCATTATCTGTGAGGTTTGTTCCTCCATGATCCGACAACAAGGACGTTGTATTCCTACACGGCTCCAGATCTCGTCTCAGACCTGATTGGAGAGAGCCTGGGATGCCATTTACTATGTGTCCATCCGCTTATGTCGCACAGAAAGTAGAGCATTTAGACCAGATGACTTATAACGTTTTCCGATTGCCGTTGATACAAAATAGTACAGCCATTTTCTTACGTGATATGCAAAACCGAATGTATGGTTTATTCTCGTTTGTTTGTCTAAACGTTTGTTTCTTCTAGTTTTTCGCCGCCTTCTTATTTACTTGTTCAGAGAATGTCCGAAAAGTAAGCAGAATATGGCCGATTATAGGAAGTGAATTAAATCTCTCTGCGGGTTTTAACACCATACCTGTATTCTAAGTTCCACCAAAGTGGTAACGTCAAAGACATGCCACACTTAGCTGACATGTTGTGACGTAAGACTGAAATTAATTCACTCAATCACTCAATCTTTGCTTGGAACAACATTAAAACAAGGCTATGGATGTATGTCTGTGAGTCATTGTCGATGGCGCATCACGAAATCAATTCTATCTTTAGATGGGGACTGTTGAATAAATAAAAGCTACAAAAACAACTTCCATTATTATATGAAATATCTACTGATATCTACTGACTATATCATAAGCATGTGCTTATAAATCTCCTTTAAATAGTGATGATACCAGGTGTTCACGAAAAGGTGAGTGTATCCTGGAGATTCCAGCCTAGTTCGGCAAGGGTGGAAACTGGATTTTTAAAGTCAGTTAACTCCCTTGACTCAGGAAGATGTAAGATTCAAATGTAGTAATTTCGGTTCATGGGACTATTTTCTCAGAGGGTGTATCGTGTGAGCTTGGTGCATTATCTTTAATATCGATCAACGGATTTTGTGCCAAATTTTCACATGAAAAGGTGGATGGCAATTGTTAGTCTAGAGCGCGTCCTTGTTTATCCAAAACGTTCTCACTTGGAATACGAGTATAGTCAATATGAATTGATTTTATCGTCGGTTAATTAGGTTTCCGTTGTCACATGGTGTCAAACGAGGGTGTGCTGTAGAAAATGTTGATAACTTGTGTGTCTCACCTGCTGGTGCCGGTGTTGTGGTCAACTTTGATGATGTAGCAGGTGCCGCTGTTTGTGCTGAAAAAGTACGTGACATGGATTAAGTCATCGTTTGGCATAATGAAATAGTACGTGACATGGATAAGTCATTGTTTGTCATAATGAAATAGTGCGTGACATGGATTAAGTCATCGTTTGGCATAATGAAATAGTACGTGACATGGATAAGTCATTGTTTGTCAAAATGAAATAGTACGTGACATGGATAAGTCATTGTTTGTCATAATGAAGTAGTACGTGACATGGATAAGTCATTGTTTGTCATAATGAAATAGTGCGTGACATGGATAAGTCAATGTTTGTCATAATGAAATAGTGAGTGACATGGATAAGTCATTGTTTGTCATAATGAAATAGTGCGTGACATGGATAAGTCATTGTTTGTCATAATGAAATAGTGCGTGACATGGATAAGTCAATGTCTGGCATCATGAAATCATGAAATATTACATGATATGGATTAAGTCATGTCTGGCATCGTTAAATAGTGCGTAATATGGATTAAATCATTGTTTGACATCATGATTATATAACACACATTATTGCTGACTGAAACTTTTGAGACCGAACATTTTTGAAAACGGAGATGAAAATGTGAGGTAAATGGGGTTTAATACAGCAGCGTTCAAGATTATTTCACGTATATAGAGCGATGTAAATGCACGGGTGTGTGGCTGTTTGTACTAGTCCGGACTAATGCCCACCGGGATACCATGCCGCAGTTTAACATAAATACCCCATTTAGACACAGGATACTGACTTCAAGCTGACCTGTCCTTGTTTCATGCTCTTAATGACGTGTGTCAGGCAGGGTAACAAGTACCATCTTTTAACGTCTTTTAGTTTGACGTGTTTACAACACTGAACCCAAGAACCGTTCTCACTTTAAAGATATACTGAATGTAAGATGGTATTGAAGGTTCAAGTTTCAGCTGTTGATAGCATGAAGTCAGTAATCATATGATACAATGACAGACGAACTAAAACATAAGTGGAACCTCGACAACTCGACGTCCATGGGCCACCTGAAATATACCGAGTAATGCGTAGTTCGAGACAAGCAGAGTGCTGATATATCAGCCCATGGTGGTAATACAGATTCGACCCGGACTAGGTCTTAAAGAGTGTATCGAATTTGAGATGGAATGGATGGTAGAAATAGACAACATACAGCTACTGAAAACAGGATGAAGCTATCCTGAACATGGAATCAGAGTCTGTTACTTGATGAAAAACACTGGCTGGAAAAACCTGACCGCGCAATGCAGGCCAGTGGTTTATGTAGCCCCAGATGGATTCGACCTCATTGTCGTTTCAGAGGCAACATATCACTGGATAGATCTTGCCTCATTGGTTACATCTTATTACATCGGCAGGATAGTGTTACATTGGCTAGATCTGTTAACATTGGGCTATATCCTTGTGGGGGCGGTCGGGTAGCCTAGTTGTTAAAGCGTTCGCTCGTCACGCCGAAGACCCGTGTTCGATTCCCGACATGGGTACAATGTGTGAAGCCCATTTCTGGTGCCCCCCGCCGTGATATTGCTAGGGTATTGCTAAAAACGGCGTAAAACCATACTCACTCACTCACAATATACTTGTGGATTCAAGAACAACATGTCTCACTAGCTTAATCTTATTACATTGGCTAGACCATGTATCATGTGGCTATATCATTGTGGATTAAGGAGCAACGAGTCTCACTGACGTCATCCTAGGTGATTTAGGCACCACATTCGTGACAAACTCGTGTTATTCCGGGACAAGCCGAATAGCTTCTTGTAGGTTACGGAAAGGGGCGAGTGGTAACGAATGTTAGGCACCATTGCGTCTCATTGGCGGCCACAATATCCGTACTACGCAGTTTCAAGAAACTTTTTTACAATCACCAAACCGGACCTATTTCTTGTTTGTAAACAAATTCGCTTGTATTGAAATCAGGGCAATCCATGCTCACGGAAATTGTCAACGAGTGTGGGGCATGATTCGCCCTATGCGCATTATCTTTTCACAACTGACTTGGGGGAATCTAATTATATATCTCTACACAACAAGGTGACCTTATCGTATGTACGTATTTTGAACAGTGACACATTCTAAATAATGGTTAATACGCATAAAGAAAGAGTCTTATTTTCTCGGTGAAATTAAACAAAACTCTTCAAGAATGAAATGGATGGAAAATAACGACTGTAAGATGAGAAGATTCGTCTCAGGCCTTTGACAGAGGTACTAGGTTGACGGAGGAAAACTCAGGGTAGAAAAGTAATATTATTGTCTGCATCCGGGTTGATATGACGTCATATCAGCCATCCGGGTCACCACCTTGGCATCAATCTTAAACATTTCTCACGATCTTGTTCAGAGGAGAGCAACAAATACCTCCCTAGTGAATATTATTCAGAATACATATTTCTCAAATGGAATAACATTATATGAAGCACATTCCCGATAAAATGTTTAGTAGTGTATATTTATGTAGGTATGTATTAACATATCTTGATGGCACATCTTCGTAGAATTTCCTACAAAAAAAAACGTCAGAGGGTAACCAGTCTCGATTATCCCACGAAACAGATTCCATTGGGCGCAAAAGGCAAAATAGTGGTGAAAATTTTATGAATTTTTCACTGAAAATCAGTGATGACATCAGATGTTAAAGGCGAAAAGGTACGCATGTTAATAATAATAATAAATAACTACAGATTTATATAGCGCTGGTATCCAGTTCGAAGAACTGCTCAAAAGCGCTTCATTAGAGTCTACACAAAAAAGAGACATTACACAGCTAGGAAAACACAAAGCCTCAATACTCCAAGAAAGATTTGGTGAAAAGATAGGTTTTGAGTCTTGATCGGAACAAAGTAGGACTGTCACTACCGGTAGCACCCGCCACTGTCACGATGTGCATAAAAATGTATGACTTGTGTTTGTTGCCTGATACCACACAGCCATTCTACACACCGCCTAATTCACCATGTAAAACAACGTACCACGGCGGGATGAAGGGGGATAGCCCGTCAAGATGGAGGACCTATTTTAGTGAAAGCCAGGAACATCCTCAGGGCGAATCTGGGATTCGAACCCAAGATCATATGGTTTAGACACCCAGCGTGGAATTGTGGCACCTTAGTCGATTGGGCTGTCCATGTGCCAATGAAGATATGTAAATAAAAGCGAAAAAAACCCTTTCCTTATTCTTTTTGTTGTTGTTTTGTTCGTACCATTATGGAGGCATTATGAGTATCGTCACTGCAATTATCGGAGATCCGTATTTTCAAATACTGTATCACGCCTGCCTATAACTAATCAAGTTGGGACCAGGCAACCCAGTGATTGAAAGCATGAACAACAATCCATTCCATCAGGGCAAGATGACCTGCAATGAGACAAGTTACAGGGCCTGACCTCAGAACCATTTTTATCAACTATTTGGACAAACATTTCTACCTCGGAATCCCGACCGGGTATACAAAATTATCAGAAAGCTACTTTAAAGAAATGTGATGAACTTGGTAAGCCTTTAAATAATCCTCATATTCATATTCCAAACCCGATATGTGATAATATTTCAAGTAGGAAACAAAACGATCGGTTCTTATATTATTTCAATTAAAAATAAGACCCGTGAAGGTACGGGGTAGAATAGGTCTTCAGCAACCCATGCTTGCCGTAAAAGGCGACTGTGCTTGTCGTAAGAGGCGACTAACGGGATCAGGTGGTCAGGTTCGCTGACTTGGTTGATGCATGTCATCGTATCCCAATTGCGTGGATCGATGGTCATGATGTCAATAACTGGATTGTCTGGTCCAGACTCGTTTATTTACAGACCGCCGTTATGTCGCTAGAATATTGCTTAGTGCGGCGTAAAACAACAAACAAACAAACAACCAGTATTAAATACACCGGATGACAGTTGCTGTTTAAGCAAACCCTCCTACCCTGGTCGCTTTAAGAGTACAAATGCCGTGATATAACTCGAATACTGTTAAAAGCGGCGTTAAACCCAACTCACTCACTTAAAAGTAAAATGATACAGCAAAAGAGCCGTCCGAGACAACGGTTACATCCAGCTTGAGTGAGTGAGTGAGTGAGTTGGGTTTAACGCCGCTTTTAACAGTATTCCAGTTATATCGCGGCGTGTCAGCTTAATGTGGTAGGAAAGCCGAAAGTGATGCAGACGTTTACCACTTCGGTGAAACCCTGGAGCACGAGCATGGTGCTGACAAACCTAGAAACATAATCGGGGCGAACCGGGATTCGAACAAACAATCATAGGCATCTGGCGTGCCGAAGGGACGCAACTCTGCACAGCGAATCGCGGCGCCTTTGACGACTGGGCCACCCGTGCCCCCACATCCAGTTTGAACTCCCAGGGCAAGGTATACATCGTGCGCTCACTCCCTCTACTTGATGCCATGTTGTACGAGGGCCTACACCCTGTGTTCACACGTCCGCACACATAATCTCCCAGATCACAGTGTCAGCGGCGGGTTAATTGCTGAACTAACTCTCCAAGCAGGTGACTCCTTCGCCTCTGCAACAACGCAAGGTGTAAAACCCAGGCTTTTTGAAGGAGACACGGTATCTCGTCTTTGGGGAGCTACGACATTTGCACACTGGTGACATCACTGCGACAACAGCGTCAACGACATAGCGTATTTCGGGCATGAAAGATGACATTTTGACAACGTCGGTAACAGGATTGACTTTTTTAAGAGACTCATCTTCCATTACCTTTCCTGACCTTTCCCTTTTGCTTAAAATCAGAATAGAACGTGCGTCCGTCTTTTTCAAACGGGTTGGTTTGTACGTTATGAAAGATACAATTTGGGGACGTCAAACAGGTCCAATACATAAAGGATATTTGGCATTCCTTGTCAGATAACTTATTCATCTCACCCAGTGACCTGAAAAAGTTGCTATTTAGCAGAGCAGCCTCTAGAAAACAAATCAGGTGCATCCGGCTATGTGTGAAAAAATCATATTTGTTTTTACAAAAAAAATCTCAATGACAT